TCTTAATTTTTGGACATGACATTATTCTTTGAGATCCGGGTTGAAGTTATACCACCCCTACGAGCTGGAAGGTTTGAATGAGTGACAAGGAGAGATGTTTGAACCGTCGGAAGTAGAATGGTCTGTCTCGCCTGCTTTTCACGAGCCACTGACAATTTTCGACTCCTCTGCGAAACGCGCACGATCTGTGAACATGATCTGGGACCGATCTTCGATCTCAGGGATACGTAACGGCTCTTGGTTTCAAAACCTTCGTCCTTTCTCCTGGCTCCAGCTCCTCCCGACTCTGCACGCATCAATTGGAACACTGCTATTAGCATTCCCTTAGGAGAACCTCCCCATTGTGATCGTCCCACCTATGATGCAACGACGTGACGATGTGAAGACAAATTAAAACCGGGTCGCGCGTTCACTACCAATCCACACACCCTTATGGTCACTTACACACTTCACATTTTCATTATCGCACTCTTGGGTTTGTTATTGTTTCGGCATGGATGAACAATCTTCGTGGATGGTCACAGTAATCGTTGTCAGATCCGGAACTGCTATTTCGCCGTTGTATTGTGGCAATTACCCACCTCTCAGTATCGGAAGTTAGTGAGCGAGTTTTTGTTCATACGAAGTGCATACAACCTCAGATACCCACTGCTTTCTTGGCCGGGAGCAATTGAATTTTGCGGTATAAACCTACGAGCCTCACTGGCTGTTGGCTTCTGCGCTTCCTTATCGAAGACGCAGTGACATCCCTGAGACTCGCGAAGCGCCTGTTTACCTATTCGTCTTGGCTCTTACCATATATATGATGTAACACATGGAACTGAACTTGCTTCTGTCCCACCATGTCTCTCTCAAATGGATCCCACAACTTCACCATTGCCGTAACTGACGCACAGCTTTCCTTGCTCAAGAAGAAACTTGACCTCACTACGTTCCCCGACGAGCTCGACGATGCAAGATGGGAATATGGAGCGCCGCTCGTCGACATTCAGAGGCTTGTTGGGTACTGGAAAGATGGCTTCGACTGGCGAAAACACGAGGCCGCTCTCAATATTGAATTACCACAATTCATGAGGGACCTCGAGGTCGAGGGATTTGGGACATTGAATGTGCACTACGTATACAAGAAGAGCGAGGTCAAGGGCGCAGTGCCTTTGTTGTTCGTGCATGGATGTGAGTCATTTGACATTATTTCTTTTGATACTAATACACAGGTGATTATCGAAAGGGCCAGGAAGCTTCATCGAAGTCCGAAAGATTCTCCCTCTCTTAATCCAAGCATCTGCAGATCACCCAAGCTTCCATGTTGTCGCCATCAGCCTGCCTGGTTTCGGGTTCTCTTCCGCTCCAACCAAGAAGGGCTTCAGTATCGGTCAATATGCTGAGGTGCGTTTTCGTCGGTATAGCGTGCGACCAACCCACGATGATACGATCTAGGTCGCACACAAGTTGATGATTGCACTTGGTTACGAAGAATACGGTATGTACCTCTGATTTCATCAACTGAGCTAAACACGAAAGGACTGAAATCCGTCCAGTCACTCAGGGCGGCGATTGGGGCTACTGGGTTTGTTTATTTTGCCATGCTTCTGATTTCAACGATATTCATGGGTGTAATTGATATTCGACAGATCACACGCAGGATAGCAAACGTGTATGGGCCAAAACACGTCAAGGCATGGCACACTAACTTTCCACTGTAATTACTTCCAAAATTCGATGACCCTTGCTTATTCATTTGCCACCACAGAGAACGTCCATCGTTCCTAACCCATCCAATGTCCTTAATACGTCACGCTCTCTCTGGCCTTCCATTCTTCTCATACAACAAGCGTGAGAAGGAAGGGTTCGAGCGCACGGAATGGTTTAGACGTTTTGGAGACGGCTATTTGAAAGAACAATCGACTCGGCCTCAGACACTTGGTTATAGTCTTGCCGATTCCCCTGGAGGGTTACTTGCGTGGATCTACGAGAAACTCGTAGAATGGACGGATGGTTACAAGTGGACTGATGATGAAGGTATGTACATTCCAGCCTCGCTTGGTTGGTGTATGATTGCCTTCATCATGCTGCTACAAGTTTTAACGTGGGTTTCAATCTATTACTTTTCTCGCGCTGGGCCCACGGCGTCCCTGCGTATATACTACGAAGCCATACATGCTTCGGCTGCTGAGGGCGTCAACGTTTTTAGCAAGACCGAACACACGACGATTCCACTGGGATACTCGTACTTTCCGAAGGAGCTCGCCATTTTGCCAAGATCGTGAGTGACACCCTTGGCGCTTGTGAGACCAATGTTCTCATGATATCGAACTCGTATTTCAGCTGGACACGGGTTCCAAATTTGGTTTTCGAAGCTGAGCATGACGAGGGTGGACACTTTGCGGCGCACGAAAAGCCGGAACTTCTTGTCGGAGACTTAAGGAAAATGTTTGGAAAGGAGGGGAGGGCATTTGGTGTTGTTAAGGATAAGGACGGATATGAGGAATAATTCTCTTACAGTCCCGATACCGGTAGTTGAAGTGATGAATGACTTGGGGAATGTTGACGGCCAATCAGTATAACTTCTACTTATTCTTTTCAAGGTCTCCCGCTCAATGCTAAGTATGTTGAGACATTTAGCCCGTCAGACAGGTAAATAGAACATTCATTCCGCTGGCGGTGGAGTGATCCTCTACAGAGTGGACAACTCCGTCTGTCCACCAGATTCTACCTGACCTTTCGTAAACTTCCCCTTGACTTTATGGCCAAGGGTCTGCGCCTTCGCCCTAGCACCAGCTTTCAAGCTTGATGCCCCCGCTCTCGCGCTCGCGGCTTTCGCCTTGACCTTATCACCAGCGACCTTTGCCTTTTCCTTGAGGACGGCCTTGCACCCTACACAGGTGGAAGGCTGAACAAGGACGTAATGTAATCAGGAGGAATTTGAGGGGTAAACAAGTAGGACTTACGGGGTTTGTAATGTCTTTCAGAGCGGCGGTAACGCACTTTACATCTGCGTAAGGATCTGGATGGGGTATGTTTAGAGATATACCCCCGAAGAAATGGGATGAAAGTATTCACTAGCTCCGAGCTGGACTGTGGCCCCGATACAGTCAGACACTGTTCAAGTTATCAACTCCCCGGGTTGCTCAAATTAAAACCATGGACGCGAACCTGTGGGGCCGAGAGCTGCGGCACATCCTGTGAATAAGAGATGTTAGGAAGATGGAGACAACTCGAAAGCAGGACTGACTTTTGAGGTTGCAATCACGTCGATACAGGCTGAAGTGGTGGTGAGATGGTAAAGCAGCGACAGAGGTCAAGTTAATCGTCGCAAAGAGCGTGAATATCAGGGCAAAAGTGAACTGCATGACCAGCATGACCGCGTTCTAGATCGATATGGGGTTGATAACAAAAAAGGAGAAGTGATGAAAACGCACCAAGTAGATTTTTGGCTTTGTTTGGGAAGTTAGAGAAGGCGACAAAGGAGTTCGAGGCTAGCTGGGAAACCATCCTTCGGTTCCTGGTGTATTTAAACTCTCCGATTTCTGCGAAAGCATAAATGAATAAGCTACAGAAAAGATGGTAGCAGACCTCCGAAACAGAGGGGTCACTTTATTCTTGGCGTTTTGGCTATGTCGCAGAGGAAGTATGTACGCCCAATGACTCTGACAACGTTCGCGGAATCAAGGTTCAGTAACCTTGGGCATCCCGGTGATTTGATGGTAAGATGGTGGATATGTCCAGGTGCGTCAGCATCTCGACAACGATGCACGGTTGATTGCCAGCCCCTCTCTGGGCAGCACACGTGGGTGATGATGGACAAGATTAGATCTTATCCTCCTCACCCACTGATCGCACTTGTGCGCCAGCACCTCAAGTTCTTGCCTCGATGATCTCCAGCTGGGATGTATGCAATAAATCACTGAAGCACCGGCCTACTCTGCTCAATATTGAATTTGGTTTGAACTCAACCTCAGTGGCGAGTGAAGCACCGATATTTACGTCGATACCATCGTGTTCTCATAGGCCAAGGAGGCGAACTGTATACAACCAGTTAGCAGCTGAAACAATCAACGTGACTGACCATGATCAAAATAACTGAACATTCTACTACTACGACTTCTTTCTCTATTTTTTGGGCCCTGCTGATGGGTACAGATTCTTGCTTTCTGGGCTTGTAAGAGGGATCACAGGTTCGAACTGCGTCCTTATCAATGCTCGCACGCATTGTTCGCGTTCTACGCATTGACTTGGGGATGCTACACACCAGCGGTGCATGATATCGACCTCCCCCCCCCCAACGCATGATGAGTGTTACCAAAGCGCTCGCCCTCCCATAGGCCCTTCACCATTTTCCTATGTACTGATGGACTCGCATGCTTAGGTCGCTCTCCACATGGCTGAGCCCAGAGTCAAAATCGGCTAAGGGTTATAGTCGTAGTGTCAGGCGACACTGGGCTGTAAACTTCAAGGACTCAAAGTATCTATCTCATGCAGAAGAAACGAGATCCGCATGTATGGACCATGGCGTGAACACTGGACTTTCACCGTCCCTATCTTACAACAATCCCCTCATGAACTCCTCGAAAATGTGAAGCCCAAAGCGTGCTTTGTCCTTAATACTCATGGCGGCTCGTCGTGATCCCTTGGAGTGGACGGTCAGCAGGGAGGGTTGCTCAGGCTTGTCATTGTCAGTTGAGACGGCAAGGATGATTGAGGAATGGAGAAGCGTCCTCGCCCGATGTTTCCGGACGTTGCATCCGTAGCATGGTGGGATAGGGCATGCTAGCTGGGCGTATTTCTCAAGAGAGGGAGCAAAGTGTGGGGATTTGGGCTCGGCGGCGAAGAAGAAGTGAAATCGCACATCGTATGTGATCCTTTCAAACCTCAGAGACTACAGCTGCTGATATGCCTTTCCCTCCGTTGGACCGCCTTTCTCGTCTCCGCTGGGAACCTTGAAAATAAATGTGAGTTACGATCTGGTGAGGACGAAAAAGATGTCCCTGTTATTGCTACAGTGCATTAAGGGGGAATCGAACCCCCGGCGGGTCGAGAGAGAGGATGGCAACGACCCAGGTTACCACTACCCCATTAATGCGCCTCATTCTCCGAATCATCCTAATTAAATTATTCTGCCAGATTCCACTCCTTAAAATTTGAATATCACGCCCACATCACAGCGCATTCCCTATGTTCACAGTGTCAAAGATCCCAACCTTGGGATTTCGCTTTAGGTCTGAAAGTTATGTATCATCTGCTCTCCGCTTGTAAGCGTACTAACTCGATCCTCTGAGAACTTAAAAGGCTACTGATCACTTCCGAGTACTTAACGAAGTTTTAAAAAGGACCCAACCTATTTTGTAACCTTTACCGATTCCCATGGAAGATATTATTTAGCCCACAAGGCTTTTTTTCTGCGCGGGTTGCGGTCGACCATGGCGGTCCATGCAATCGAGTACGATGGGGCGTGCCATGATTTTCACATCCCAGCTTAGAAACTTCGACAGATCACCTGGGGAGAAATTCAAATTGTGAAGTTTTTGGTATAGAGGCGATAGCAAACAGAACAAGCGCGATGATCGCTCAGATTTGTTTCTTCAGACGTGCTGACGCTTGAGGCTGAATCTGGATTCTGATGGGACTAACCAAGTCACGTGGACCAGAGGTGATCTGGTTGACTTTTGTCTCTAGCGTGCTTTGCCACAAATCACCTCTTGATCTAGTCATGTCCTGATTTCAACAGCTATATATTGAACCTACAGTCTTGGCAACCGGCTTGGTTCAGGTCATTGCAGATTTATTAAGGAATTGGATGCTCTTTTTGTTCCTGGAAGGGGTAGATGTACATACGATGTGCGAACTCGGAGGATGTCCATGACAGCCGATGCAGAACAAGTCGAGGTTCTTGTTGTATTCCTCGCCTAGAAGTTTATTTTCGTTATCTGGTGAGGCAAGAAAGGACAATCCCCGCCTTAGGGCTGTCCTTCTCTCCCATAACTCATCTGATCCAGGCTGCATTTTGATTGAGGAGATTAAGGAAAAGAAGGCCTCCACTGATGTCCGTGGTATATAACTCAGTGCCTCAGGCGTGTTTTCTGACATGATGTACATTCCACAGCCCCATATGGTCATCTTTGACAATGCCCCACAACACCCTTGTAGGCCGTGTTTGCCGACGGAGAAATTATCGTAGGTTTGTGTTGTTCTGCATCAGCTGTGCACGAAATTTACGGCCTTTTGAGGGTATGTTCGATGCTCCGTTTCGTGGGGTGATAATCTCTGACTCGCCCACAAAACGTGTAGAACACGATGTTTTCTCTTGATGGCGCCGATCACTCATGTGATGATGAGCTGGAAGCGTTGGCGCTCATGTTCAAAGCTGCAATATTAATGCGGGTCTCACCTACGTAGG